TGATGATGATACATGATGATGATACATGATGATGATACATGGTGATGATCCATGATGGTGATCCATGATGATGACACATGATGATGATACATGATGGTGATACATGATGATGATAATACACAATAATGTTAATAATATATTTATGATAATAATACAGAGTACATGATGGCAATATTTTTTCCTCATTAGGAAGTTTACAGACTGCTACAGGAGACAAAGGAAGATCTTCACCAGTCAATCAAAAGAAAGACAAAATAGGTCAATAAAATCTAAAACTGATTATTATATTTTTTGATTATTTATTGCATAGTCATAACACATTTAAAAAAATTCTTATTGCAGAAAAGCCATCAATTCCTCCAAAGAAAGATGATTTAGTGTAAGTATTAATCTCATCATTTCTTTCATGGAACTAACATGGTGCCCAGCCTTCATTTGATTATCTTTAGAGTGATTGCAAGCTAGTCATCCATCCTTTTATGAATGCTGTTGCTGCTGGTTTGCTTGCTTATAGTATCATTGTTTGCATCAAGGCATGAACACCAGACATCAAAACATGTTCTAACTGGCTCCTAAAACTTGTGTGTTTGTCAGCTAAAGCATCAGCATAAAAAATGTTAACATTTTTAGTCAACAAGAATACAAGTTTCAGGAGCCAGTTAAAACATGTTTTGATGTATAGTGTCCATGCCTAGATACAAATGACAGTTATGAAGTGGACATGCTAACCATTTGCATGTAACTGCTAGATGGGCCCCAATAATTTACTATCAAACCAATCGTTACTAATTTCAACTGGTTAGAGCTGTGCACCAGAGGTGCCTTCACATGCTTTCATTTTGACTTCGTTGAGCTACACCACTGCTGTACTTGTCAATCATTAGCCATAAAAAGTTTAATAAACTAACATGTTACAAAAACTTAATCACTTTAAATTATATATTATCTAATTTAACAAAAACCATAAAGTTAAGAAAATAACCAAAAATTGTTAAAAATTTATTTACATTAATAATAATCCTTTAAGTAAGTAATAATAATCCATCTAAACTAAGAAATATATTAAACTTATATTACATTGAGGACACTCGAACTTGGAACACTTCAATTTTTTGTCCCTTTATTGAAATGCATATTGCATGTAAATCAAACTGCATGTAAATGAGTTACTCAACGCCTTCATCTTAGAGGGTTTGGACAGCTTAAAGTGTAGGAAATAATAACTTGAAAAAACTTGAAGTTTTCACAGTTTGAACGTCCTTGCTGTCACCGCTGAGAGAATTAATATATTTACCAAGAGCCATATTACTTTATATGAATTCTTCAAATGTGGATTTACTGAAATGAGTTTTAAATCTTTTTTCCAAGTTGTCACTATTAAGGACTTTTGAAAACATATTTTACCGCATTTGAATATCTTGAATTGAGAATGTATTTTCAGTTTTCCTATTCTTCTACTTCTTCGTTTTTCCTTTCATTTTATCTCATCTCTCTTAAACTTTTTTTCTGTCATTGTTTAAATATGCAATATTCTGGTTACTTCAGTGCTGAGTACGAAAATCCACAGAATGATGAGCCAAAGTCAAAACCTTCCCGACATGTTTCTGTCATGGTTCAAATGTTTTCAGCGTAAGTTCATTTAAATGAAATTCATTTAAAACGTTTCAACATTTTTTTCATTCAATTTTACCCACAAAAAGTCATGAAATACGAATAATGCTATTTACTTAAACCTTTCCAAGTTTCTGTTTTCAGATTTACTTGAAGAGCACATCTCTATTTTATTCGATTGATAAATTCCTTTGAACCAGCCTTTTTAGTGCTCCAAAAAAAATCATTTTTGATGTTAATATAAATTATTATTAATCTTACCATAAAACTCTTACAAAACTAATGTAGCTGTTTGTAAGTAGGAAATGTGAAAATACCTCCTGTTCAATGTCTCTGTTTGGGTTAGAGTTTGATTTATAAATATTATGTAAACAAGACATAATGAAGAAAATGAGTGAGGGTGTGTGCAGGTATTGGTTAAAACTYGAGAGGATTGTTAGTTCGAAGTATAAGTTAGTGTTCCAACAATATCCAAGTGATTTAGAACTTTACACAGCACAGCAGCCAAGTTTTTTTATTTCTTTTCCAAAATGCCACCTACAAAAGCCGTTATTTTGGATAGGAGTGATGCAATTATTGATAGTGAAGATGGATGCTGTATGCTCTCATAAAGCACACACTCCCAACCAATCAGAGTGCGATATTTATAACTGTTATTCAAAGCACCATTGGACAGAAATGGAAATGGTGCTATATAAGAATAAAGTTGTTATTATATTATTATTATTTCATAATGTATGATAAAAAAGATAAAAAATTAACTCTTAGGCCAAATTTAATGGAAAGTAGTTGTCTCAGAGACCCGAGACAGCCCTGCTCTACCCCCCAGGGTTGTCCTGGGCAAGTTAATTTTTCATACATTTCTTTGGAAAATTAAAACTACTATTTACGCATAGAATTTAACGACAATTTGGGGGCAAGACATCTTATCTTGGCTAGTGGGGTAATCCAGGGAGGCAAGACAAGGCAAGATGACTTTTCCTCATATAAACACTTAACTCTCATACTTGGAGAAAGACAGCTCAACCGTGAAATGCATGTACATGCAGATATGTAACCTGGCCTTGAGAAAAATTCGACATCTCTGTGTCCTTGAGACCCAAGTTTTCAGTTACTGGAGAAGAAAAACTCTATGTAAATGCTCTGCAAAAGAGGTCGAGATAACTTTTCTTCATATAAATAGGGCCTTATTTGTGACTTCTTTAAACTTGTTGATGTGTAAAAAATCAAAATAATCGAGAAAATAGCATAATTACTGACCATAAGATAGAGTGCAAACATTTAATCCGTGAAACACTAATTACTAAATAGTACAAAATAGTGCTAATTAAACAATAGAAAACAATGGAATTTGCATGAAATTGTGCTATTTAGTATTACTAAAGTTTCAGGATTATATTGTTTGCACTCTAATCATAAAACATTGGCTGCCCTTAGGGATCATTGATTATTATTGTAATGAAGATTGTAAACCATTTGCTCCATAGAACATGCCATAGTTCTTCCTAATAGAGTTAGGATGGAAGGAAGTTTCTGAGCAATGTATACTCTGGAATTGTCGTATTAATTTTTGTTGGAAATTTAAAGGGTTGGTGTGTAGGAATAATACCTTAGTGGGCAGTAATTTTTGCAGATATATCTGAGATTGGAAACTTAAGTGTCATTGCCTGAAATTTGAATAAGGCTCATTCGAATTTCTCTTCATTTCACAGAAATGACAATCCTGGAAAAAGAGACAGTAGAAACTTTGATGGGATATTCAGGGACGCAAGACTGCCAAGGACTTCCCCACCGCCATTGCCGCAGTCGCCACCACCAGCAGAACCACCAAACATGGTCCCTCCCCGAACTCCAAGGTAATGGATTTTTCAACAGATATTTTGTGCTTTTTATTTGAAAGTTCTTAAAATTATCTCCCATCTCCATCGTGTTTCATGTTCCTGGAAAAGCTATGCTATTTATTTATAGATTTAAGGCAACCACTAAACAAATGTGTGTAAATATTCTGTAACAGGAAAGCTCGAAGTCTGTACCCGTGTGTTGCTGAGAATAGTTCTGAGCTGTCGTTTGATGCAGGAGCAGTCATAACCAATGGTTTGTATAACTTGTGTAATCTGAGCAAAGAACCAATATCTTCTTGGTGCAATGTTTTCCCGTTTCACACCACATGTTATTTCCTAGAGTATGGTTTCTTTGTTTAACTGTCGCGCATGAGAAGACACATAGATATGGATACAACCCAAACAAAGAATATTATTGTCAAGAGAATGACTTCTGGTCTGAAAATGTGGGTAAATATTGCACCAAGACAAATATTTGGTCTATTTCTTTGTCACTCGGAATTGCTCAATAGGCCATTTCACGGATCCCGTTACTCRACCTCAGCCTCGTCAGCGTGTAATATATTTTTTAGAAATTGCGTACAACCTGTGAAATTTTTAAGTGTTTCAATTGTTCGTTGATGTGTAAATTCCTTTCATTACTGCGGACTGTAGTCAAATTCTAAAGAATAATTACACGCTGACGAGGCTGAGGTTGAGGAACGGGATCCGTGAAATGGCCTATTGGACAGAGCATGTTCTAGTACTCTCCTATTTAAACGTTATAGAGATGGAAGGTATAATCACACCACATAGAAAGAGTAGTGGAACAAGAGGTGACATGATATTTGTTTCTTTGCAGTTCGTGAATCTAAAGAACCTGGTTGGTTAGAAGGGACAATCAGTGGTAGAACGGGACTCATTCCTGCAAATTATGTTGAATATATTTCTTAGTCTCTTTTAGTATCGATATTAATAATATATTATATACCATTTATAATAATAATGATAATATTAATATTTTGATTTCCTTGAAATGGAGTGTGTGATAGTATGTTGTGGTGTAAAAAAGCAACAATCTGCAAGATCAAATTCAACGCCAATAGAATTTTATCCCTATTTGCTTGGAATTAACATAACTAAAATTAATGCAAGTGTCTTTTTCTAAACTGTGTCAAAAGACCTATTTACATTGGGTTTGATGTTTTCTGAAATGGGAAAACATTACAACCATGCTCAAAGGATCAAATGTAGAGCACGAGTCTGGTTGAACCAAAAAAAAATTGATGGGAGGGGAGGGTGGTATATTGCCAAATCTTGCCTCTGGAAATTCAAGAATTATACTGTTTATGATAATAATCGTGTTTTAATTGAAAATAGTTTTTAACAATAGCTGTTTCATTAAACCTGGACATTATTATATCTTCAGTAGGTTGCCTGGTTTTTTTTCTTTTTTCTTGAATGACCATGCCCTGACTTAGATCAGCCTATTGGCTGTTGCATAGGCTCAAAGAAAAGGACTTTTTGTCTAGATATATAACACAACAGCATTCCTGAGGTTTAATGAAACAGTTATAGTCTAAATATTAAAACTGGAAATGTAATCAGAAAGCTAGCATCTAATATTCAAACAAAGCATGGGACAAGCATCAATTATTGCCTTATACCTCTTTCATTAATCAGTCAATCAATAGACCTCGTCGGCTAGGCGGGCGTAATGTTTTTCCGTAATGTTTTCAGACCACGTGTCATTCCCTTGAGTATCATTTCTTTGTTTAACGGTTGCGCATGAGAGGACATGAATATGGATACAACTCAAAGAAAGGATTTTATTCTTAAGGGAATGACACGTGGTCTGAAACAGGAAAACATTACGCCTGAGCCGAGAAGGTCTATTAACTTTATTCATCCACAGTAAACGGCTCAGTAGTCTGATTTTCAGACATGCCGTGCTAGGTAAAGGAATGAATTATTCTTCTCCATGCTTCCTCTAAACAAAAAAGAATAGCAAATATAATAAATATTATAATATTAACTTGACTACTTTGTACATAAAAGTTATTGATTAAATAATGTGGCAAACAAGAGAAAGAAGGTTAGACCAGTAAATTTTAATGCATTTTCTTTCTAGTCGTGCTTTGCCTGTATAAGTTGGCACATCATACCACATACCAACTCGTTAACAAGCATTCTTATAATTCGTGTATGTTTTTACAAAGAAAATCTAAGAGACATGGGATAGAGCAATCTTATTTAAAGAAAATATAAAACTAAAAGGGGGGTGATGTGATGTTATATTCATCATGTCAGTTGATGTACATAAAAAAGGTTTGTTCTTATATCTTGTCAACAAACATGGTGGCAATCGGCCATGTCTTTTTGGGGGAAGAATTACACCATCAATTGCTGGTTTGCTATGAGAATGTATTTTAAAAGGTTTATTTTATCTTGTGTAGAAAATGGAAATGGAAGAAAGACGTCAAACGAACAATAATAATTTGCTGCATTATTAAAAAGCTATGACGCAAATCAGAAATACAACAAAAAGTAACAGTGGTATTCCTTCCTTCCGCTGAATATGCCAGTTTTATTTTGTACTTGTAACAATAATTGATACCAAATAATCAGACTGTCAAAATAGGTTATTTCGAAATAAATGTAAAAAAAATAAATGAAGTGTATGGATTACAAATATACATAATGATATGTCTTTGACCAAGATAGATGAAATAATTCAATAATTGTAAAAAAAGAATTTACCCCTAAATCCTAAAACTTACTTTGGTAAGGAAATTTAGTATTTTTCCTATCAATGTGCATGGAAAGAGGAGAGGGAAATGATTTGAGAATAGCTACACCCCTCCCATGGGAAAACTCGGATATATATGTATAGGAATTTTGGCTATAGACCCTCTAGCGTCTCAATTTGGGCGACAAAAAAAAAATTCAATCTCCAGAGAATTAGAAACCTCAGTACTATTTTGCCCTCCAAATTGAGCTGTATTCCGACGTATTTACACAACAGTAGAATAATCAAATTACATGAAATCTTAAATCAATTATATACATATTATATGCCCTCCCCTAATAAAAAAGGGTTTATCGTCTCCTAGAATTAATAACCAATGATTTTTTGTAAGTAAAATTTTAAAAAAATGTTTTGGCTAATGGCTATAGTCTGCATTCGTTTAGAGTGATTTATTCTCAAGGGATATAAAAGCGACAAAAATATTTATAAAGCATAGTTTCCACGGCCAATAACATTAATTTGATTGTTTGATCGCTATTCATCCCAAGGGCGTGGCACGGACTTCAGCGGACGTTATAGGAAACCCGCTCAATTTTTTTCACAGTTTCTGATTGGTCAAAATTATTGCTATCCTGAAACGTGATTGGTTAATTTCGATCCTCGATTTTCGTATAAATAGCACCCGCGAAATTCAAAAGTGCGTATAATTCCAGAAAACTAGTTCGGAAGATTTTTGAAGGAACTAGAATATATCAAAGAATTAGAATGTCAGGTCGTGGAAAAGCTAAAGTTACTAAAGCAAAAGGCAAGACTCGCTCAAGTAGAGCAGGACTTCAGTTCCCGGTTGGAAGAATTCATCGTTTTCTTCGAAAAGGAAACTACAGCGAAAGAATAGCTGCAGGAGCTCCAGTTTACATGGCTGCCGTTTTGGAGTATTTGAGTGCAGAAATCTTGGAATTGGCTGGCAATGCTGCTAGAGACAACAAGAAAAGCAGAATCATTCCTAGGCATTTGCAGTTGGCTATCAGAAATGACGAAGAATTGAACAAATTACTGCAAGGTGTAACGATTGCTCAAGGAGGTGTCTTGCCTAACATACAGTCAGTCTTGCTGCCGAAGAAGACGGGATCATCGAAGTCTGGCAAAAAGGAAACAAGCCAGAGTCAAGAGTTCTAGTATGTACATTAAAAGAAATTAAAAATACTCACATTTCCACAGCTACTTTTTTCTGGATAGATTTAATATAAATGTATAGTTTTAATATAATATCAGTGTGAAGAGCTAAACTCGTGTGCTTTGAGCTATTAATTTATTTTATAAATGTTTTCATCGATAAATTGTACATATATTTGCAATTTTATGTTCATAATTTCTTTAATATAGTTTAAATAAAGTTTTTCACAAAATTCGAGTGTTGAATTTGTAAAAATGTGTTTGGGTTTCCTGTGGCGGGGATCGATATGCGTCTGTAAACCGTTCTGTTCAATTTATTCGTCACGCTGAATCCCTTTTCAATGAAGTTTTTAGTTCTGAGGTCAGTAGATTAGCTAAATTGATTTCCGCAAGATACCTTGTTGATGCAGGATTGAGTGAGCGAGGCCAGAAACGGGCGAAAGATGCTAGAAACACCGTCAAACAGCTCAACATGCCATCACCTCGCCATATTCCAGAACAATATCGACGTGTTTCCTGGCTCACAGGCCTAAAGATGTATTAATAACTCCGTTGTGTGGAGAGAAAGTAGAGTTTATTTGTGACTACGGGACCCCAAAACAACAACTGCAACAGCAGATTCCGTCGAAGCTGGACTGGAGTCATGTAAAAGACGATATATAGTGGTTTAATCCTTCTCAATCTGCAGATCACCAAGCAGTTATTTCTGAATGTTTGGAGATGAAAAAGTTAGGACTATCCAAAGCAAGAATAGAACCAGAAATTAGGCTAAAGGAACGAGCTCAAGAGTTTTTTCAATTTCTTCTTTCGAGGCACGAGAAAAACATTGCTATTTTCTCTCACTTATTATTTTTGAATAAATTTTTGCACTGGCATTTTGGAAGAGAAGAACTACATATTGATAACGCAGAAGTAATTTCTTTCGACATTTCTCCGACACGTATGAATGCAATTTAGTACTTAGGTTTTATCACGTGATCAAGCTGTTTTGGGTTACCTGTGTATTAGTCAAGAAGCCCCACTTTTAGTTTTTATTCCACGGTATTGCAACCTTCAAATCTTTCGTAAATATGTCTTCGAATAGACGTCAAGTACATTTTATACGTCATGCTCAATCTATGTTCAATAAGGCTCATTGTGCTTACTCACATGGACAAGCTGTTGATATCAAGTCACCTACCCTCGTTGATGCTGGCCTAAGTGAGGAGGGGAAGCAACAAGCCATTAATGCCAAGACAAAAATTAAACAACTCGACATCGATCTTGCTATCACATCTCCATACGCCAGGGCTATATCTACTTGTCATCTTGCTCATGGCTTTCATAATGTGTTGGTGACTCCGCTTTGTGGGGAGAGGTTCGAGTCTGTTTGTGACATTGGTACACCAAAAGAAAAGCTGATGAAACGATTTTCTGAGTTGGATTTTGGTTCTATAAAAGACAATATATGGTGGTTTAATCCTGGTAGATTCGAAGACCAGGAATCGGTTATCAAGTGGTACAGGTCCCCACAAGTCGATGTTGAAAATGATACCATCCTTAAAATTAGAGCGAAAGAGTTTTATGACTTTCTTCTTGCAAGAACAGAAAAGAATGTAGCAGTGTTTTCACATTCACACTTTCTGAGGAAGTTTTTGCATTGGCATTTTGGAAGAGAAAATTCATTCATTGCTAATGCAGAAGTTATTTCCTTCTCTTTACCTTGATGTCTATTGACCTAAAATACTCGGTTATCAAATTTAAGAATGCAGATTTTTATTTTTAAATTATCAAAATAATTTCTTTTTCCTATGTGCAATCATAACAACACCTGTAGGTCTGCCAAAACATTTTTCTCAAAGATTTTCACTATTTTTTGCTGGTGCAATAGTCACTGCCATTTACCCTTGTAATGTGGATTTAATAGAAATTTTTAAAAGAGAAAAAACTGAAGGGGTTTAATTCGGGACATTTTAGACTTAGACTATACAGTCAATTCAAAAAACTTTGTCGTCGACCGGCTCAAGCCTACGYGACTGGACCGAAAKGAATATGGGTAAAAWTCACTGAAGCGGTTAAATATTCGTTCTGAATTAATTGTTCCAGCTAGTAATAAGATAATAATGGCGAGAAACAATCCATCAAATGTATGTCTTTGGGTTTAGGGAAAGAAAAACAAAGTAGTTATGATTCAGTTCACAATTTCGAAAATATGAAGGCATTAAAAAAACGTCTCCTCCAACACTTCCTGCTCTCCTACAAAGGTTCGTGCTGTAAACCAGGCATAACTAGTCAGATAAAATTATGGAGTCAACTCGGCTTCGATGATTAATACCCAGAGTTCCTTTCAGTTCAGTCGCGTAGGCTTGATTTGGTTGTTGACAACATTTTTTTAATTGACTGTATATAAAAATAAGCTCAGTTGACATGATATAAATGTAGTCCAGTCAAGCACAAAGTGTAAAATGTATATCTTTATTTTGCAATTTAATCCAACATTTGGTCCGGCCATACTATTGGCACTAAGTTTTCACAGCAATAATAACAAATCAACCAATCAATAAAAAAATATCAAAACATTGAAAAAAGAAATGTAAATAGGATTTTTACCAATGTGGTAAAAATTTTCATTTCACAGGAAAGTATATTTTTATTTGAAAATTCTTATGACATATAAATTTTACTTGGGGAAAATTTAATAAAACTTGATTGGCCAAGTAGATACAATCACTGTTAATTGGAGTTCGTTACTTTGTTAAATATAGACTGTTATCTTAAGGGAAACTAAAAAAAGAAATTCCACTGAGGAAAAGGGATTTCTTTTTTATATCCTGTTTGCATCCTGTCCAAGAGGTAATTTTGAAAAGTATAAAGGCTTGCTACAAGGAGCAATTTTCTCTGCAACTTGGGTTTTGCAACTTGTCTTCCAATAGCGTTGCGATATAAGTTGCATTGAGCATTGCAGCATGTAGCCTACAGCCCAATTTGAAAAAAAAATGCCGAGCTGCAGCAATTGATGCAAAAAGTAAAATTTGTTTTTACTTTTGGCAAAAACTGCACCTCCGATGCACTGTGTAAACACTTTTGCAAAGTTGCAGAGAAAATTAATCCATGTTAAGGGTAGAATCTGACATAAATTTCTCATTTATTGAAAAAATATTTACATATAAACAATACAGAGCCATAGCCACCATTTTGACAGTCACTCAGTTTAAAAAAAAGTTGACCAGTCATGGTTCTAATGGTAAAAATTAAGTGGTCCAGTTAAAACAAGACCAACCATACTGGTGGCTATGACCCTGCAATATGAAATGAGAAAACTGAAAAAAAAATCCTGTTAATTTAAAAAATTATACTTTCAATTTCTCAATAAAATCTTTAGCACATTAGGGAGGTTTCTAAAGTATGTTAGCATGCAGTAAATAGAGTTTTGTATATACACTGACACATGCTAATAAATTAAYCGATCACAGCATGCATTATACTTAAACTATGTTATAGGTTTCATTACATAATGAATAGAGGTTTGATCTAGCATGAAATAAGCTGGTGAAAAATTTGAAYCCCTTACAATGATTGAACCATTAATGATTACTTTCAAACAAGGTATATCCACTCTGGACTTTGGAAATTTGAAACCCTTTTAAGCTTAGAAGTTCTTGATTTTCTCTACCAATTACAGTTGATTTCATGAAATTTCAGCCACTCCATTTGTGAAGTTAGTTTGCAAGTTCACATTTTGGAACGAATTTTGAGAATTGAATTCTGTACCTTGTCTGGAATACAAATTTTGAAAAGTATTTGATTTAAAGATGCAATTCCAGTAAATATTTGAATTCTAGTCATGAGTTCCTACCAACTAAATTGCAAATAAACTTCAAAATCTGAGTGGCCAAAGTTATGTCAAACCAGATGTAATTTTGCCATGTTAAAAATCCTTGGAGAAGCTGAACATCCTTCGTATAAAGAAAATAAAACTATCAGAAATATAAAAACACAATCATTGATAAAAATTGACAATTGAAAACATTGACAATAAAAATTAGGGATATACTATAAAATCCGAGTTATAAGCCATGAGCTTATACTCATTTGTAAGGTTTATCGATGGGTTTATATATTTTCCTGTGTTTCCAGTCAAGAATAATGTTTTTTTTTTTGTCAATTAAATGAATTTAAGATACCAAACGTGGGTCCTAGGAGGATGAGGAGGAGGGGTTAGAGTGAAGTCATTAAACCCAATATGAAATAGATATTAGACTAATGCACTTTAGTAGACCAGAATTCCATTGTTTTCTTTTGTTTCTATTTGACTATTACACGTTGACTAATAATTTTTATTTCACGGTTTAAACGCCTTCACTCTATTACTGGGAACTTACAGTTCTTATGTAATATTATGTTAGCCTTGTTGACTGTACAGTAAAAAAGCTTTTGTCTTCAGGTTTTAAAATGTAAATAGAATAAAATATGCATCTAGTCAAAAAGTCCTGTTCCTTGCTATGTTCTGGTTTCTTTAACACCTTCATCTTTATTCTCCATTATTGGTGGAAGATGTTGGACATGTGTTACAGGATGGAGCCAGGATGTTTGTTGAGTCACATGACTGAAAAAACAAAAACAATTATTAATATATAAAGTAATTTCTCTTACAGAGGTTTGCAGTAGTTTATTTTGCCAAAGGGTCGATCATTTGAAATCAAGATTTCATAGTGAAAACATTTAGCAATTGCTTTGAAGCTTCACCAAGTTTGCAACTTGGGAACAAAATTTCATTTGCCATTGTTTCTGGGGTTACCATAGCAATGCCAGATTGTTGGCCTTTGTTTTTTTTCACAATGCTGTTTTTCTCTGGATCTAGTTGGAAATTATGATAAAACTTCCTAATACTAAATTAATACTACATGTAGGAAATTGGAATGAATTCAAGATTTGCATTTAAAATCAATCTTACGAATTTTTTCCCACATGTTATTGTTTCTTTTAGCTCATTTAGGAGGGGAGGGGGTGTTGGTGGAGCGTACAGCCCTGAACCTTTTGTGCTAGATCTGACCCCAGGGGCGGCGGAAGCTGAAAAATTTTGGGGGGACACTCCAATATTTCACGGTACCTTGAAATGACCCCCCCTCCCCCTCCCTGTTTAGCTTGATTACAAACGTGTATGTGTGATATTTCAATCAGTAACATTTTGCGTGCATTAAACCACTT